TAAGCTGTCCTAGGTTAGGGGACTGCATCAGATTAGCTTGTAGGGATGCATAATTCCAAAAAGAATCAGTAAAATGGCTTGCCAAGTAATCGGAAAATGTCTAGTACAACAGATAACCCGGAGGTTAGAAATGTAACCTCATCCCCCGTGTCATTCTTACTGATATTAAAGGTAAAACTGCTCTACAAAATGCGAAAAAGTAGGTTATGTTGCCAGATTGTGGAGTAGACTTGAAAGTATTAGTATTTAGACTAAATTGTTCATAGGAGAATATTGATTACACTTGTTGCAATTCAGGTCCCTTTACAACTTCAAAGGTTCCCCTTCAATTTAAAGAATATATGGCACATCTATCGATAACTGTGAGAGTAATTATTCTATTTGGAGAGCAACTAATCTCATGTTATGTAGTCCTCAGTGTTAAACGAATTATATCGGTCACTTCAAGATGTAGCCATTAAACAAGAGGCTCACCATAGTAGTATACTTTCATGGATGGTAGTTAGTTGTCGGTACTTGTCAGCACTCAACAGTAGGAAATATGAAACTGTTTCCTGTATCTAGTCCAGCCGTATATGAGGTCATTCATATCTCAAATAGCTCGATGGTAATGTCTCTAACTGTAACACAGAGTGATGCAGGGATTCGAATTTCAGAGCTATTGCTACCTAGTTCCCATAAGAGCGAAACCTTGGTTAAACCAGTGTTTCTGTCGACTACCTTCAACTAACCAACAAATATAGATGGCTTTATTAATTTAAGAATCTGCTGAAACTTTAATCTTTCTCCTACAACATCTGTCGACAGCCCTATGTTTCCATCTTCATGATTTTTTTTTTGAATGATAAAAGTATTGATAAAAAAAACCCACTGAAACAGTGTATAGTACACATTTAACCCTAAAGGTGAGAATCTTCACTAACCTAAAACGTGATTTTATTCAGGATCAACATTCCCAAGTATACCTTTGTAAAAAATGGATTGATACGTATAACATTGTTTTCCTTATAAAGTTTAACATATTCCTTACATATTACATAATACTTTTGAATTGAATCATTGAAATCTGCTTCTTCTTTCCTTAAATCAATAAAAACAACCCAGCTTCTTTAATACTTATGATATAAGGAAAGTCTTCATTGACACTTATGACTTTAGTGAAATCTGGTAGTAGTTTGTTTTGAAGGAACACCAGTACACACATACAGATAGACGTGGAATGCAAATAGAATTCACACCTATGTTGTTTACTTACCGCATTAACCATAATTATCCGCCTTCATTTGTGTCATCATGATTGTTATTTTACATATATACATGAATATATTATTATTTTTTATTTAAAAAAAAAGGTGTTCACTATACAACAACGTGAAAACACGCTTTTTTTTTTCTTACAAGTCCCTATGATTATTTCTGATCCGCACACTGATTCTGTACAAGTGCATATTAAATAGGCATTTCTATAGGCAAGGATTGACTCTTATTATATTACTCTAATGTAAACAATATCGGCACAAAAATCTATACTAGATACCACATCTGCCCTATTTTTCTCGAATACAAGTGATTTTGATTATGTTAAAAGTTTGTTTGTTTTTGTTTAAACTATGTGTACACCTAATTTTTATTATTTTTTTTTCTAATGAAAGATATCTAAAAGTTAAATGAAGCCCATAACATCTTATGAATTCACATTTTATTTATCTATTAACTTTGTTTAGTTAAAATTCATTCACTAATATGTTCAAAACATATTCAAACGGAAGGCTTTTATGGTATAAATGTTTATTTTAGTAATGAGAAGATTTTTTGCCCAAAATAAAACAATTAGTATTAATAATAAAGAGGGGGGGGGGTATAAAAAATTATTTGACCCTTAGTTATGCTTTACTTATTCTATGTATATCTCAAATCACTGCCTGGGTTCATAACAAAAACTTGCTCAATTCTAACTTAATAATCTTCACTTGATTAATACATTAGGCAAGTGAATCAAAGTAAACACTTACACAGGTATACATACGATTAAGCTCAATATTGTGTCAATAAAAATTATTGTAAACCAGTTTTATTTTTGTTTTATCCGTTGACTTGAAGTATTTCAGCAAATATTTTAATATGATCATGTTAAAAAAAGGTGTATTCAGTTCCATGTCAAAGTATTTCTCTAAATTCATTCATTTCTGGATCTAACTCTTAGTCAATATAAAAAATTTCATTGGTCATTCGATAATTCTTTTAGGGCAACTAACTGTCTCCACTAGTGTACTATCCTAATTGATAAGCTAATCGAATCCAACCGCAGTCTAAATATATTCATTTCAGCTTCAATCATCATGCAGTATAAAAGTAGTCGGGTAAACCACGGCTATTTCACTCACAGTGTTCAAAATGATAATCAGTATGATGCACCCCCCCTCTCTGATTCACTCAGATTTGGATTGGGATGAGAAGTCCCAACTAGGCAGCCAATGTGAATACAATCAACCGATAATAACGCGTCACCTTGGTGATTGAAGTGAAATAAAAATGTGGTCAACAGTTGGGCCTTGTAGTTCAGTTGGTAGAGCATAGGACCACAAACCAGTTAGTCTCTGGTTTGAATCTGGCTGCGATCCAAACGAACAGTGGTTCGTTGGTCACTATTCATTTTGAGCCTCCACAATCATTGAATTCCATCTTTAACTGGAATACACACATGTTTGGCAGCCATTTCTTTTTATGTGGACACAAATAGAGAAACAGAAAAAATCAGGAACCCCAGTCCGGCGGTCTATATCTCCCCACACGGCTTAGACCAACCATGAGAGACTTCATGGACCGGTGTCACTTCTCGGTCTGGTCACCCTGAACCCTCTTCCAACTTAATCTAGCATGGTACGTCGAAGTAGGCTCTGATGAGCCATGTACACAATAACTCTAAGCTATCTCAAGTCGATGAAGGTTTACAACCTAATCTATCGAAAAATTCCATAAGGGATAATTCAACACATTCCAGAATACAACCTGTAGAGTATGATTGCGCTTGTCACAGCATCTAATTCTATGCTGATATACTGAAAATCCTACGTTGCTATTAACAAAACCAGTTGGTTCATCTTAGGAACAGATATATTTTTAGCTTATTATTAATATGCTAACTGGAACATTCATTCATGGTAGGTGAGAAGGGCATTCATCCATAATTCTGAAGTAAACTAGATCCTTTTGTAAATCTACTTACAGAACACCTGGAAAACAGCTTTTTGTTACAACTGATACGATAGAGTTAGGTAAGCACTGTAACTGTAGAAAGCTTCATCACATACTAATCAGCTGTCTGTATGGAAACAAAGGTATATAACCATTATTAACTTCGCAGAACAATGATCAGTTAGCATTTATTCAAGACGATACTTTTTCTTTGCGTTCGGGAATGAATAACATTTCCTTTCAGTTCTTAGTATCATCTCCTATGTTAGAAGTATAGAGATCTATATAGCATGCTTGTACTATACTTCACAACGGTTAACTTGTTCTAGCAAAATTAATTGATACTCTGAGAACATAATATATTCGTATGAGCTTATTCAAATTAGTATTGAAAGGTTTATATGAGTTAATGCATATGTCGTGAGTTGATGAGTTCCTCACATCAATGATGACTTGCCATCTAAACATCATAAGTTGGAGAAGCACTGCTAACCTGGGAGGACTGAAAGGCTGCTTCGTTCTCTTAAGGCACTCTTCAGTAGACAGCACCAGGGATCGAGTCCAGGGCCTTCAGATTCCATGGCCTGCACATTGCCATTGAGTCACTAGATTAGAATCCAATGGTGTATATTTTCTACTTCTATTAGTTCATGATATAACACGACCTACATCCAATGCTGCTATTAAGTAACTGTCCTCATGTTCGAATTGGTCACTTTGATTTATATAAACAGTCTTAAGTTATGCAGATTATAATTACCAACCTACTTGTAAATAAAGGCTTCAATTAGTTACATAATCCCTATCTTCAAGCAGATGAATGTATTTTTCCGTAACTTAACAAGGAAAATAAACAATTGAAAATACACCTTAGACGTTGATGAGTATCGTTTTTCTATGTCTCTGTCTACCTTTCCATGAACAATCTCAGCTCAGAGTACACCATAAGAAAGACATTCACTTTTTCAGAGCTAAAAGAAATACTTTCAACTATTTCGACACTTCCAAATAGAAGAGTGTTACTTACAGTGTATGTTCTAGTGTAATGGAACTCCTGATGTACAAAGACCAAGTGTCATATATATATTGTTGTTATACAATTAGAATTCTTTAACTACTAAGATGACTGGTATATTTTGATCTTACTGGTCCAATCTATCTCGCTTAATCTATTTCTATCAATATAGAAAAGTCCTTCCTATAGTGAAGTCCGATTTATCTATTTATATTGAAGTTAGACCTGTTGGACTCAACAGTTTGTTTTCAGCTAGGCAGTCATGAACAGCTCATCTGCTCAGTTCTGAGCAGTGAAGTAGTACGATAAGCCATTGAACAAGCATGATTCAGTAAATAATCCTATCTCAACTTAATTGAAACTACATTCTAACACAGTGGCCAAGTTTTACTCTGAAATTGAAATTAGAGTAACTTTTGGAGATAAAACATACACTAATCAGATGAGAATAACAGTAAACATCACGTTCGAAACTATGTACATCTAAATCTATCCACTTCGACTAGACGACAATTTAGATCGTACCCAAGAAGAAATAATTTTCTGAAACTCCTTATCAGTGTCATCCTAGTACGGTTAGCATGAAGTAGATTTTCAAAACTTTCTCAAAGTAGAATTCATGCTTTCTAATATAATAACTCTATAGAGAATTAACACATTTCATGAAAAACAATTCATCCTCATTCTGGGTATAGAATATCAATTTACTGCGGTGTGGGGCTCTTATACATTCAATATACAAATATAAAAATTAATTAAAATTTGTACTTTAAAAAATTCATTCACTTACGTGTATGTTATGAAATCACTTTAGGTGATGAATTCAATGAAATCCCAATGAAATGGTCAAAAAGTTTTGCGAATAATTATCAATACTTCAATGTAACTCAAAATTTTTTTCCAAGTATACTCAATATACAATTTTTGTTTTCTGTTCTCTTTCCTCTTGTTAACTATCAATCAGTTTTTTTTAATAATATGAATATTGTACATTTTCAATGTTAAAGTCCATTTCAACTGTCTTTTTTCATTCAATTTTCAATTTCGCTTTTTTTGTTGTTTAAATGATATTGTCTTGTTTTGTAGACAAAAATATAAATTGTCGAAAAATTCAAAAATTTAATCTTAACTAGTAGTACCTCAGCATAGATGACATCACTTAGTTTTTTCTGTGTATTGTACAAGACTGATGGTGTAGTATTAAGATTGTTAGAATTAGACGAAACAATAGATAAGACAAGAGGATTATTAGATCGACTCTGATAACACTATTCAGTGTAAAACTAACTCAAACTAGTTACTTTCAGTTATACTATCATGCAGTTAATTAGGATGTTAAGGCCGAAAATATGGAAGGTAGGCTTGTTCGTAGGTATATGGTTGTGTGTGTGTGTGTGTGTGTGTTCTTCTATCTTCTCCGCATTGGATGCATTTCATAGTTATTAAACAACGTGGAAATGTCGCCCAAAAAGTCACTACCAATCATAATGCAGCATGTCACCACCTCATATAATAACAATTCATACTTTTGATAATCAGAGAAGGGATATGAAAAATAGCCTTAACCATCATAATTCCATATTATCTTCTTCTTCCTCCTCCTCCTCCTCCTCCTCACATGTTATTCTTTCGTATACATACATAAATTGTGATGCCTGTGTTGTTGTATATCGTTCTGTCTTGTCATTCACTTGGATTTTCTATATATCTCTCTCTCTCTTCATCCTCACCCTTTATAATAACGAAAAATCTAATATAGAAAGCGAACGACATGAACAAAGCGCACCAATCCTATCGATATAGGTCAGATAGAAGATTTAACTCAATCATACTACGCCCTTGTTGTTGATTGGTTATTTCATCATTATCAGTAATTTACATCAATTTAGAGATTATCAATAATGATTATTAAAAAAACAACAGGAGAAGCAGCGATTTGAGAGGAAAGATTGTCTCACATATCTGCAATAGAATAGAAAAATATTCTTTGTATGTGTGTAAGAGAGAAACAACTGTGTTAGAGATAGAAAGATACAGAAATTTGTTGAAGAGAAAAGAGATGAAAAGTAAACTGGAGCAGAAATTTCTATTATGAACATCATTAAAAAGGCGAATCAGATTTCGATAAAGTGGGATGAAGTATTCTGAAGAATTTTTATACTAAATTACTATTGATTATTCATTTACCAAAAGTGATGCTGGAAGATTTTACTCAATAGAGCAAAACTTATGGTGATTGAAGTAAAATTAAGATTTGGTGGGCAACTAGGTATTGTAGCTCCTTTGGTAGGCTACCGGATCAATAACCTGGAGGTCATTGGCTCGAATCCAACCGGCGACCTTGATTTTTATTCCACCACTAACCAATATTAATTCATTTAATACAACAACTTTGCTGATACTTCTTTGTCATTGGCTTTCATGCCCTAATGGCCTAATGGATAACGTTTTGGCTTTTGAAGAGATAGTTACTGGGCTCGACTCTCAGTAGGAACAATATCTGTCACTGGGGTGCAGGGATATCCAAGTGATAAGTCTCGGATAGAATGAAACTCGCATCGTGTATTCCACCGCTGGTCATCATTTGGACTACAGCTTCATGAATGGTTTATTCTCCCCTGATGTTCCATCGAGAATTAGCTTGTGACAATAGGAATCATCATACTGAAAGTCATTGATAATAAATTCAACGTGAAATTGTTTGCTTATTTATCGGATATTAGAAGTAATTAATTAGAGGCCTTTTCAATCAAAGTATACCAAGATGATAAGTCAAATAGTTTGATCAATAGAATCTGGTTGGTACTTAGGATCAGACAATATGAAAGTGGTTACTGTCTAGTGGCTGGTTAGTAAACTTTGTATCAGTCAGCTACTGGTTTCTCTCCTACTGAAGAGCGTCAGTAAGACCAAATCCCTGTACAGAAGGAGATTATTCTCGTAGAGAAGAGTAGACAACAGTGTTAAAGATCGACTGATCAGTAGTGAATATTAAAAAGTAATTTTGATTAAAGATTCTTCAAGGAAATAAAAAAAATTCTTTTTTGGCTTTAAATACACTGAACCTTTATACTTTCAACACAGGGAACATTGATATTCGTTGAAGTGTAGTTTTAAAACATTTCTTAAATCTTTTTGTCAACCGTGTGTGTTTTGGGTAGAGAATACGGTCGTAAATATTACATTCCCACAGGCTTCAGACAACTAGTGTCATCTTTATTCATAAATTCAGACCATGTAGTTTTATCAAGTAAAAGTTGCCAGTTTCAAGTTGTTATTCATCGTAGACTGACATCACTTGGACGAACAAAGGAAACCTGAGAGCACTGGACAGCTATTTCATCACAGTATGTGACTCCTCAGCAGTGCACACCCACGACCCGGTCAGGGATTGAACCCATGACCTTCAGGTTCCGTGGCCAGTATGTTACCATTGGGCCATTGGGTCAGAATGCAATGGTTCATACTTCCAACTCCTGTTAGCTCACGATATAGCACAACCGCCACCCAATGTCATCGTTGAATAACTGTTCTGATTGTGGTGATCGGAGGGGCAAAGCCTGGTGGTTGTGAAGACAGGAGTCCCATACTGGGATGAAACAGCTGTCCAGTGCTCCCAGGTTTCCTTTGTTCCTCCAAGTGATGTCAGTCTACGTTGAATAACAACTTGAAATATTTCCAAATCCCCACAACTCCCTCAAAATTCAGTTGCCTGTTTGTCTTAATTTTACTTCAGTCAGTCAGTATCGATAACGTCTTAGCTATATAATTGGTCCTTCCGACAAGACCACTTCTGATTTATTGAAAGAGATTAATACCAAGACTATTTTAAGATTGTGTTGGTTTTTGACAAAAAAGAGAATAAATTCAATTTCAGGATTGTAGAGTTGATTTGGAATATTCATAAGTTAGACTTGTGATCAATTTCGATTTTCTGACGATGTTAGAATACGTAAGCTTGGCTGATCATAAACATCTTCAAATTGGTAAGCGATCGCTTGATAAGATTTTTGTGTTTGAGGTGCAGAAAAGTTAAATTAAGTTTAAGAGTTTCAATCAAGAACAAAAAAATAAACGAGAGACAAGTAAGTAACAGATTTTTTCGCAACAGCTAGGACCAAATTCGTGTAGTTCTCGGTGAATATTGGGAGTATATTAATTTACACTTTTCTCAAATTTATCCTACTGTTAGGCAAGTAAATCTGGTTTGACCTGATCTAACTTGATGGCTCAGTAACATATACTCCCTAACTTACTTTAAACACTGAACCTTTTTTATTCGGCTCATTAATTTCAAGGTACTTTCCATTGGGAAACTTAGGAGTCACTAGAAAGCTGCTTCATTCAGCAACTGTACTGATCCCCCCATTAGACATATCAGATGAATGCAGAACCTCTCCCACAAGCGCATCGATTCAAGTTGACATACATCACAGAAATACAAAAGAACAGGTGGATAGAAAAAAAATGGTATCAAAGTAGACAAAGTTGTGTAAGAGAATAATTTCCAGCCGTTACCGAAAGTCCCCAACCACCGATTCCTTTCATCTCGGGAACCGCAGTCCGATAGTTTATATCTCCCCACACGGCCTATACCAACGGTGAGGTATTTCATGGACTGGTACCACTTCCTGATCTGGCCACCCTGAACCCCCCTCCAAACTAATCCAACTTTCCACAGTATAGCACGTTGAGGAAATCGGTGGCCATCTCAGTCGATGAAGGTTCCAAACCTTATGAGTTGACTTGTCTCTCCTGCCTAGTACCCTTCGCCTGACTTCACATAGTGATGCCACCAAACATGAGGAATACTACGATGACACCTGTGATTAAAACCCTGTTATCGCTCCATTTCTTCTACTTTCAACGGCCATTTCTCATAGATGTACAGAAGGACAGAATGGACTGTAGTGCAGTATACTCATCCTTTGATAGATGGTCGAATATCTAACCTGTGCTCCAAGAGTCCTCAACCGCTGGTCCTTATGGCCTTGAGGACCCCAATGAGATAGTCTACGTCTCCCCACATGGCTCAGATTAGGAATTAGAAACTTCATCTACTGTTGTAAAGTCTTGGTCTGACCATAGCATACTCATGATTCCATTTACTTGCTTCTGTTCAGCTTTTGGCTTGTAACTCAATAGCTCACATGTTTTCACTCCTGGTAATTCATGATTTACTTCGGCCACATTGTAATGTTTCTCAAATTTACTTCAATAATTGACAAACTCTATATCATTTTCGCTTAGTTTCCGTTTAGTTTCTTTTCATTTTCTAGTTCCTCCTAGTTTCAGTTTTCAGTTGTGCTGGTATAAGTAGTCGTTTTCAAATTGTTTCCATTCCAGTTATGAGCTTTTCATGGTCATTTAATTAGTCGTGAGACTCTTCAATTTTGTGGCACATTTCTAGCCTAGAATTTTATGAGCTAGTAGTTAGCAAAGGTTAGAAACAATACTTTACACTGTTACATTCCATCTGATATCAGCCATATGTAGGGAGTCGTCAAGATTTGTATTGAAGACAGTGGACTGTACATCCGTGAAACCTCTTATATCAACAATCTTAATGTATACGCTGGTATAAATTTTCTGAATTATAAATATTTACAATTCTGTATATTAAAAAATTGGGCGCAATGAGCTTTATCCGGTTTGAAAGCTCAAAAACTTCTCTACTCGGTTAACCGCCTTTGGAAAAGAATATCTCTTACTTCTGAAACAGTACAGCTATCTGCAATCTGGACTCAGCGTATATATTTGTCTAATCAAATCCAGATAAGCGTATTTGTGTATATCATTTTTCTTGCATAAAATTTTTGTCGCTTTCATTCGTTACGTATTTTTTTTTCTAAGAAAATTTTGTTTTAAGAACATTTTTAATTTTTAATTATTCTTCAAGTTATAAATAAATATTTTATTTCAGAAATGTTATTCATCATGGACTCACATCACTTGGGGGACCATTGAAAATCTGGGAGCACTGGACAGCTGTTTCGTCCTAGTATGTGACTACTTAGCTGTACGCACCCACGCCCGGCCAGGGATCGAGCTGAGGACCTTCAGGTTTCACGGCGAACGAATTAACCATTCAGCGTACTGCTGAGTCCCATACTAGGACGAAACAGCTATCCAGTGTTCCCAGATTTTCAATGGTTCCCCAACTGATGTCAGTCCATGATGAATAATACTTCTAAATTAAAAATCCCCCATTCATCTCAAATGTTTTAATCTCATGTTAGTAATTTAATATGAGAGAAGCCAGTTTATGGGCATCATCACATTGATATATATTTGGAAATCTTCAAGATTTT